ACCACTACAAACCCCAAAATATCCCACAAGGGAGAAAGGAAAAGGCATAAATAGGAAGGAATTGAAGTAAGGCCTCAATCAATGCACGAAATTAAAGTTGAAGCGCAGCAAAAAAAATTTGCTGTCCACCCCATATTGTACTCAAATATGGACAGCAACTGTTCCCTTAAGTCAGGGACTGCATAAACATTAAGAGAACCAACTGAGAGAAACCAAAAACTACAAACAGCATATACAATCATTGGGATATGCATGGAAATTCAGTACAAATGTTATTCATAATTACAGAACAAACATTTATAAACAACATCGAGATGGTAAGACACTTATTGATGCAGAACAAGAAAATTTAGAAGTGCACATATTTCAGTAGTAAGAGTTTATGTAATTGTAACATTTATGAATTACTAAGGTATTTAATATATTCAGAAACTAGTACATATAGACATATTAGTTGTGTTAGTTTACTACTTACCTCCTTAATTAGGATTCTATTTAGTTATCCTCTTTAGTTATTTTATTGGTTATTCAAACAATTAGTTCGTTTTCTTATTTAGTAGAATTTTCAAGATAGACTTTAGAATTTTCACTTTGATTTCTTCTGGTAGATATGAATAGAGCCCCATAGTTTTATTAAATAGATTTTTTTTTTTTTTTTGATAAAACAAGATATTCTATTAGAGAGGGATTGATGAAAGAACAATACAATCAAGGAGAATAAAGCAACCTCCTAAAAATAGTCATATATAAAGAACTGCAAACAAATGATCCTCTTGCTGCTAAAAAAAAAAAGCTTCCCAATTTGGACAGAGGTCAATGATGCTAGTGGTGGAGCAGTATCCGGACGCCTTAACCCATAATGTAGCCAAAAAAAATGTAGCTTTATCACACAAGTCTTGGAAAGGTCTAACCCAATAGTTAAAAATATAATGATTTCTTGCAAGTCAAATGCTCCCCAACCCAGCAAAAAGTGCCCCTCCATAAAGGGATTTAGCCTCAATACCAAGTCCCTCCCCCTTCAGATAATAGCTCATGAAAATCTTTTCCGTTAGAGGCGTCATCCTATATATACCAAAAACCTTTACCAATTTCGCCAGAACCTCTAAGATGTATGATAGTGTAAGAACAGGCGCGACTGTGCCTCTCCATCCACAAAGCACATAACACATGTAACTGGAAACAATGCTCGGTGATGCTGGCAGACTTGGAGTATCTCGTTTGTGTTAAGCTTCTGACAGATAGCAACCTAAGTGAAAACCACTACTTTGAAGGAACAGAAGATTTCTAAAACATATTGGCTTCCTAAAGTGGGCTATCGTTTGGTTTCTAAAACCATTACATGTGAATATTATAGAAGGTTCCAAGGTCTAGGTCCTGGTGCCAGGTTGGGTATTTAGTTGCATAGGTACCAAGAGATTAAAAGGATCTACCATATCAGAAGCCTCCCTAAAAGAAAGGTTACGGGTAAGGTGAACATCCCAGATTATAATGCCATCTGTGTTGAAAATGAAGTCTGCACTGGACTGTCATGCCTTATAAACAGGTTCAAACAGATGTGAAAATTTAGTGGTCAACCGTTGATCTTCCATCCAAGTATCTTCCCAGAATTTAGCTTTACAGTCACTTCCAATTGAATACGAGTGAAGTGGTCTTATGAGGTGTAAGCTTGGGATATAGCTTTCCAAGGACTTTGGTAAAAGATGAATATACAGTAATAGCATTCCACACCCTGGACCTTAATCCATCGCAAGGGGACCTCAAGGGGTTTCCCCTACAGGAACCCCAAGGTAAATAATGGGTCATTTTAGTCTAAAGAAATTTACTCCAAAGTAGACATTTCGTCTGAGTTGTTGCTATAGAGAGTAAATTTCATGATTTGCAGCAAGGGGACCTCATAACACATTGACAAGGAACTGGCAGCAGCTCACCATGTTTAAAGAGCATCAGTGGAACTGTCCCAAAGATGGACTGAGGTACAAACAGATTTCTGAAGGAAAAAGTTGTATAGGTTTCTTGCTCGAACTCAACAAAGAACTTGATAATGTCCGAGGAAGAATTCTGTGTTAGAAATCTATACCCAATATCTGCGAGACTTTTTCCGAGGTGTGCATGGAGGAAAGCTAAAAAAAACTGTTGCTTAGAAACTGAAACCTTAATCCATCACAAGTCACTGAAAGTTCGATACTTGTTGCCCAGAGTAGTCGGATAATCCAAGGAGAGATAAAGCAGAAGAAAGGGAGACCCTAGTGTGACCACTTTTGAAAACAAGGGCAGACAACGAAAATCTACCGGAAACTCCATGGAAAACCAGCATATTGGAGACCAACCCGGAACCCCAAGGAAATCTATAGGGCATTCTTGTAAACTGGGTCTTTTCCTTCCACTATACCTTAAAAACCCTAGTTGTAAGATGTCTTCTTCAGTAGGAAAAGATTTTTGCATGTGACCCCACAGAGCGAGCATGTCATTTAACCACATTAAAATTCTGTATTCTTTCTTTCTCTACCTCTTTACTTAAGTTGATGTGTATATTGGGGGTACCACAACATATAAATAACACTTCGCTTCTCCCTTTTTGTGATAAAATAGGAGCAAAATATTTCTTAATATTCCCCCACAGAAGTGTATACACATGAGGCATTACCAATGTGATGAAGCAAAAGGGGAAAAATTAAACAAAATAATTTTCCAGCATCCCCAAGAATACGAGCAACTTCTTTCTACAAATTAGTGAAGTAATTCTAGAAACAAAGCCTAACAAGCAATGGGAGGCATGATTTACTTTCATTGATAACTGAAGAGAAGTAGCAAATATAAAGTTGGCACATGATAAGAAAAGCTTATAAGACTTTACCTTGACGATAGTCCGAGGTCATTTTCACCTGACTGAAAAATGCGTCTCAAAGAGTCCTTAAATACTGAATGGCCAAAACTCTCTGCAAGCACCACTAGTCCCCCAGTTCTTTCAACTGCAACTTTTAGTTCTGCAACACCAACCTACCAAAAAACAAAGTAATACAAGCTGAGATATTTGTTAACACAAAATCCATTACTCATTAGTTTTCATAATGGTCAGTTAAGAGATTTCTCACAAACCACATATTTCTGCCTATGCAGATGTTTTCTCTCCTATTCAGAGATTATTATTACTTTAAATGAGGCTTAATAACCGCTACTCCGGTCTGCATTAGGATCTAACCCTGCTAATTGTGCATCCTGTCTGAGTGGATAAATTTTCCATAATAAGGTTTCATCGTGAGGCTACAGCCTACAAGATTATCTAATCATTGTTTATATTTGAGTTTGGCCAGACCATAGTTTTCTGGAGAGTTCCTGAATACTTGGTTTGATTCCCTGTATGCATCTCAAATATTTTAAAATCAAAACATTATGACTTCTGACTAGCTAAAGCTAAAGGCCGAAAAATTTTTCAGTCATTGTAGATATCCTCACTGATTACTTGTAAATTTTTTGTATATGGGTGGCACCCCTTTATGCCTTCACTTAATATACTTCTTATACTTTTTTTATCTCAAAAAACAGAAGGCTGAAAAATTTTCGGGCCACACAGAGTGAGTACTCTAAAATAGGATATCCATTTGGTGAGATGTTACCAAGACAAGAAAGCCTATCATGGTACCGTCATAAGAAGCCCAAATACATTGAGTAATCAGAACAAAGGGGCGAAAAAGAAAAAATCCACTTTTACTTTTGTAAATCATTTTCTTTTCAATTCACGTCACTGAACACTGATTCCAGCACAATCCTAAATAATATGATACTCCCAGACCCACAACATAAAAGGTCAATAATTCATGGCTTCTGCATCCTGC